CCTCCCCCTCCCTCATCAGCCCAAAGAGCAGTCAGGGTTCCCTGCCCTGTGGGAAGTCCAAGGTCCTCCTCCCTCTATCCAGGTCTAGGAAGGTGAGTATCCAAACTGGCTAGGCTCCCACAAAGCCAGTACGTGCAGTAGGATCAAAACCCAGTGCCATTGTCTTTGGCTTCTCAGTCAGCCCTCATTGTCAGCCACGTTCAGAGAGTCCAGTTTGATCACAGGCTCCATCAGTCCCAGTCCAACTGGCCTTGGTGAGCTCCCATTAGATCAGTCCAACGTCACAGTGGGTGGGCGCACCCCTCGCGGTCCAGACTTCCTTGAGCACAACCGAATTTGTTCTTTTTAACAAGGCTTGTCTTTCAAGGATTTATCTGACCTACCTGCTGTTCCCAGTCAAGCCTATGATCTGACCACATCACTTGCACTAATGCTTTTCTCGTATCCGTAACAGATCCTTCTAAATTCCCTTAGTTCAAAGTCAGAGTCAGTAGGTACCTAGATGTCTGAATATCTTATTGATAAATATATTGAATAAAGAGTTAGATATATAGTAGGAGCTGGAGAGACAGGGCACTTGTTTCTCTTTCAGAGAGCCCAAGTTCAATTCCCACACAGCAGCTCACAGTCGGCAACCTCAGTTCCAAGGATTTGATGCCTGTTTCTGGGGTACCAGATACACACGTAGTAACACAGATACATGCAGACAAAACATACATACACAGAACATAATTTTTTTAAAGCTACATATAGAAAAGTGCTTAAAAGCATTGGTTCTTGGGTTTAGAGATGTAGCTCAATTCGTAGAGTGCTTTGAATACTTGTTTGGCTAGGCAATAAGTTCAAGGCCAGCCTGAACTACATAAGACCACTTTCAAAACTAGCAACATCAATAACAAAAACAATAAAAGCATGTGTTCTTAGTGGCCAAAAAGGAAATGCAAATATCACTAAACATATGGAAAGGATGATGTTAATTTATAAGAAGGAAATTTTAAGCTACATTACATAATTTAAGGCCAACCAGGTCTACATAGAGACTCTCTGAGAAAAAAATCAACAAAAATAAACAAAAGTAAAATATAAAACAAAGTGCAGTGGCCACCTGTACTCCTCCAAACTACAAAGGCCATGAATCAATGAGAATTCTGAGACTCTGTCATGCTTATGAGGAAACAAGGGAAAGATGATTTCGAAATGTATTGTAGGATTCTGAAACAGGAAGAGGACACTAGGCAAATGTGAAGAAACTATACTTCCTATTTAATAAGGTTCATTAGTGACAAAGACACTGAACTGAGTGGAAATGTATGAAAGAGTAGAGTATGAAGCTTTTATGTAAATCTAAAACTATTCAAAGAATAGAATTTTTTAAGTACCCTAATTAGCACTTTTTTTTACGTACTATATTGGAAAGGAATTAAAAATGATAATACATTTGTTTTGTTGACATTCTGGTGAAATGAGCACTCTCAAATATTGCTGGTAGGAGGAAAAATTGGTACAACCTCTACTAAGAGCAACTTGATGTACCTATTGAAATTTAAATGCACATTTTCTTCAAAGCAGCAAGTCAATACATCTGCAAATATGATTGTCAATACAATAAATACTCATCTATATGCATTACTGTTCAATGCTCTCTGTGGCAGAATACTGGGGAAAAACAAGTGTCTATTTAATGAAATCTGTATAATGATGAAGAGGGGGTACAGTCCTCAGGATTATTAGTCTTGAAAATATAGCTAGAGAACTCGCAAGTTTCAGAATACCATATAGTATGCTTATGTTTGTGTAAAAGGTGGAATATATATGTGCCTGCATATGCATGAAATATCTCTGTGAGAACGTATGACAGGGAATGCCTCCAACTAACAGAACTCAATGATTGAAGGACAAGAACAGAAAGAAAAAACTTCAACTACGTTATTCATATGTTCTTTTCCTATAGAAATTTTTGTCCTTATGTTGAGACAGGATTTTGTATGAAGCTCAAATTGGCCATTAACTTCTGATCTTCCTGCCTGAGTCTTCCAAATACTGGGATTACAGATGTGTGCCAAGCATGCCCTTTATAGCCTTTGAGGTTTTTGTTTGTTTTATTGGTTGGTTTGGTTTTTAGAGATAGGGTTTCTCTGTGTAACAGCTCTGACAGTCCTGGAATTCTTGTTGTAGACAGGCTGGCTTCAAACTCAGAGATCCACTTGCTTCTGCTGCCTAAATGCTGGGATTAAAGGCGTGTGCCACCACTGCCCCCTGTCCTTTGAATTTTTATTTTTTATCATTATTATTATTTGGTGGTTTTCAAGACAGGGTTTCTCTGTAGCTTTGGGGTCGGTCCTGGAACTAGCTCTTGTAGACCAGGCTGGCCTCGCACTCAGAGAGATCTGCCTGCCTCTGCCTCTGTCTCCTGAGTGCTGGGAGTAAAGGTGTGCAGTAACTGTATGACTGTCTCACCTAGTGTCCTGGGTGGCTTTCTGTGTCAACTTGACACATGGTATAGAGTCATCAGAGGAAGGCGCCTCAGCTGAGGAAATGCCTCCTTGAGATCTAGCTGTAAGGCATTTTCTCATTTAGTGATCACTGGGGGAGGGCCCAGCCCATGGTGGGTGGTGCCATTTCTGGACTGGTGGTCCTGGGTTCTATAAGACAGTGGGTTGAGCAAACCATGAGAAGCAAGTCAGTAAGCAGCACCGCTCCACAGCCTCTGCATCAGCTCCTGCCTCTGGGATCCTGGCGGGTTTGAGTTCCAGTTCTGACTTTCCTCAGTGATGAACATCAATGCTGAAGTGTAAGTCACATAGACCCTTTCCTCCCTTTTTTCCCCCTTGCTTGTTTATTGTGGAATTTAGATTCCTTTAGCCACTTTTGGGAATTACCAACCTTAGGGCATGGTCTTGTCTGTGGACTTGACAAGCTGAGCGGGAGCGGGGGGAGGGGGGTCTCTCAAGCTCTTGCTTTCAGGTTCCCTTGGGTGATGTAGACGGGGTCAGGCGGCATGAAGTGGCATGTGGTCAGTCCCCAGATCTATGAGTTTATTTTCCCCATAGCACCCCTTAATAATTTGTGTGTGTGTGTGTGTGTGTGTGTGTGTGTATCATTGTGGTTCACACTACACTTTTTGGTCATGATATTTCATTGCAGCAATAAACACCCTAAGACACCTATTTGATCATTTTTAATTAAATTGAATCCTTCTTATATTAGGAGCCAGGTGAGAAAAGAATATCTTGAAGACTTTGACATTCGCACAACTTGGGTTTAGATTCAAGTTCTCGGTTTCTTTAAATTTCTTTAATTTGTTTGATTCAGCTTTGTCTTATGTTAAATGAGGATACCACAGTGTTTCTCAACCTGTGGGCCCGGGGTCACATATTAGCTATTTATGTTACAATTCATAACAGTAGCAAAATTAGTTATTAAGTAGCAATGAAATAATTTTGTGGTTGGGGGTCACCACAACATGAGGAACTGTATTAAAGGGTCGCAGCATAAGGACCACTGCTTCAGAAAAATAGGCAACTGTGAAGCTTTATGTAAAATACTTTTGTGTGATTTTAAAGCTTTTGTATGAGAGGGTGTTTATCTCTGAGTACATATTCTAAGGTTACCCAGTAAGTTCAGACTTGCTCAAAGTCCTTGATACTGTCATGTTCATGTCAGCAAGAGACCAAAGAGCAGCCACGGAAACAAAACAGAAGCTGTATAACTTTGCACTTCTTGAGACTTCTAGTAGATTTAAAATACCATGGAAGGTATTAAAGTAATTAAAAATCCACCAAATGCAAGCGCCAGTGCTCTAGAAGCACCCTGGGAGATAAGTGCAAATACAACGTGCATCGCTTTGGAGCTCTGACGTCGAATAAAGACTGCATGTAAGTATAAACAAAATGTGGGTCACAGCTCTGTGAGGTAAGCAGATTCTTTAAGGAGGTGGGCTTAACTCTGGCATTCAGCCAAACTGTCTCCCTGACAAAACCATCAATGGGGAAATGGAAAAAGACACCAAGGTTGTTAGTGTTCTTGACTTCTTGGAAGGGTGGAGCATTTTACCATCACAGTAAATCTGTCTAGCTCTCATAAAACAGAGTGTCCAGATACCGGAGGGGCACATCCTACAAAGCAAATCTACTTTGAGGGGGTCTGGGTGGAGAAAGATTGTTACATGGCTGCTGTGGAATTGCAAGTGGAAAGTGAGTTTGTGAAGTTTTCTATGTATATGTTTATAACTGCAGTCAACCCAAGTGGTACTACCAAGTGATGTCTGGAAAACTACACCAGGATGCCATTGTACTTCTAGATTTGACAAAATAAGATGTACTAGTTATTTCATTTTCACAGCACAAGCTACTTTGAGAGGAAGATGGGCATCGAAGAGGCTCCTTAGTCATTTGGGGAAGAAACTGCTCTTGCCTGGACTGCTTCACTGGACATGCAGTACCCACAGAGAGATGACTGCTGAACTTGCCTAAAGCTTCATGAAAAAATCTGCTGGATACAGTGGGCCTGTAGGCTAAAGATGGATGCCCCAACGGTATGGAAGAACTTTGAGTAAATGTCCAGGCAGTAA